TGGAACTCGCTTATTTTGAATTTGTATCTATTACAGAGCTTAGTCATTAGAATACAACGAATGTATCGTTAAATAATGCAGGAGCTATTGATTGGTAGGTGGGGTTTGCGATAGACTTACCTCCACGTGGTACACCCTGGGCAACGTATACTCATACGGCAAAAAAGTCTATTAACCGGCAGTTGACTTCTGACTTCAAACTTCCATCGCCCCACTGTATGTCATATTCGACATCTTCCACAGTAATCATTTACCTTTTCTCTGCCTCTGTTTCTGTCTCTTTTACAACCGCAAACAACTATTCTGTTCCTCACCCATCGACTTTCTGTTACTTTGACCTTCCTTCCCCCTGTGAAGCCCGAAGTCAGCTAAAGGGCTAATGATAACTATCAAAACACCTGCCATTTGAAATAAATAAATACATAAATTGATTGGTAGGTGGCTAACTATCTTACTTGCTCCCTACGCGACAAATAGCACGCCGCACCTTCGATTCTGTCTGGATGCGCATGACCTTTTTCTGTTCAGCCATGTTAGTGTCCGGCACTCCACACACCCTCTCACGGTATTTTTCCCTCAAGAATAGGTTTTTCGATCACATCAAGCATATTTTTCTTGGTTTAAGCCTTTGTCAAGGCGGAATATTTTTCTCTCGTGAGAAATTGGTTGAAATCTGATAACCGTGAGGTCGAATTAACCATAAAGTGGAGGTGTTCAAGGTTAGAGCTACTCAAGGCTGTTCAGGTCACATAATTTATTGTTCATATACCGTCCTCAGGATTTCTTGGCAATCCGCTCTCCACAGCACTTCGTTCGTATTTACTGATTACTTGTGTGTGATGATCAGTCTGCCACTACAATTAAATCGTTTTGCCCCAGGAACAAGAAAGCAGAATGATCCGGTGTGATCCTAAGAAGTGTGGACTATTTTTAATTTGTAGAGATCACAATAGTTCACTCAAGTGGAGCCCTTAGTAATAATAATAACTATACACTGATTTTAATTTTGCCTTAAAATAGATGAAGCCTACTTTGAAGATCATTAATTTACGTATATTTCATCTATGAAAATTGCCCAAATTTGAAAGCTCTGAAGAAAAGGCGCCATATACCAAAAAGTCCTTCTCATTTCTTGCAAAAACTGTAACCAATATTTTACAAAAAGCAAAAAAAACCAAATGCTGCGCAAAACTTAATAAAATGAAAAATGGAAGTACTTTTGTTAGAATTGAGTGGAATAGTGCTGCAGAAGTAAATTTCTATTTCAAATCCCTTCCGAAATATGAATTTTAGCGGTGGCTACTGAAATCGGTTAACAGTAGGCCAGGAAAAATAATAAATGAAAGGAAGCGACAAAATGATTATCAATGCTAAAATAATTTAATTTGTCCTCAGGTGATCCGACCAGACACTCATCCAGAGGCCTTTGTTCCTGTTCCGCCAGACGGTGGATGGGGTTGGATAGTGGTGGCAGCTGCTTTCCTCACAAATCTCATTATTGATGGGATCTGCGTTACCTTCGGTATTATGGTAACCGATTTTGTGGAACACTTCAACGCGTCAGTTGCGAATGTAATGTTGCTAGGATCACTTCTTGTTGGAATGTATCAAATTATTGGTGAGTAATTCATATTAATTTGTGAATATGTTGCTTTATTTGTATATCTTCAAAATATATTTATCCATATATAAAGTTTTATATAATTTAATGCTCGTTATTAAATATTAATAGGTTTAGAAGAATTTGGTTTTAAACATTATTGCGATAAGCAACATATTCAACAATGAATATTTTAAGCATCTATTTATCATTAAATTAATTTTGCCCATGACATGAAAGTTGCTTTGACAGCAGAAAAACAATTTCGAATTAAGTAGATTTACATCTACACAAATCTCCCTCTTTCATTGAAGTTCTGCTGGAATTTCGTCTTTAAATACTCAGTTTTTTTCCGGAGTCGATATTTTCAAATAAGTCATGATAACAACAGTGTTTGCAAATGAGTATATTCTGTATAATTTTGAAAAAATTAAAACATTGCTTTACCCAGGGCATAAAATCAGGTTATTACAAATACCTTTATTTTGCAAAAGAAAAGACTTAAAAGTTAGCATTTGATCCATCTTGAGAGAAAAATGAAGTCACTTAACTTGTCTCAATGCCATGGAGACACGTTGAGAAAGCACTAGCCTCACTAACTATTCCTGGTTAATGCTATAGATTCGTTCAAAAGAAATAGCTGGAACTGTGGTGTAATACATAAATAAGCAAGCCATAGAAAAAGAACCAGCAGCTTTGAAGTACAACAGTTTTCGCCCATAACTATTTTGAATGTCAAATTAATCAAATTAAATAAATAAATAAATGTTTTGCTTACAGTTTTACTTTCGCTCGAGTTACTTAAACATTGTAAATATAATTAAAATTTTATGGTAAGGGCAACCTGATAATCATGGGGCACCTCGACATACCAGACGATAGCCGTGCTTCGAAATGGTATTCATGAAAATGTATAGATATCTTTTTAATTCAAATCGAGTTTCTCTCGTTAATGCATTGAATAAAATAGTATTGCATTCATTTACGAGTTATATACGGGCAAGTTACTGGATGGCAGATAAGGGACAGTTAAGCAAATCTAGCCATGATAAATTTGATTGATTATGCATGTTATTTTGGCAGGTCCTATTGCGGCAGGTCTAGTAAATCGATTTGGATGTAGAGCAGTTGGGATGGGAGCTTCCGTTCTCGCCTCCGTCTCCATGTTCGCCAGCGCTTTCATGCCCAGCGTTGAATGGATGATCGTCACCTATGGCATCTTTGCTGGTGAGCTTAATTTTTAGAAATATGTTCTCTTTTCCTGACACCATCACCACCACCACCGTCGTTAGTATTTATAATGCTTTGAAATGTTCAATAATTTGCGATTTTGAAATCTTGGAAAATAGATACATGCTCTGAGCCGTAATGAAGTCAGTTAAAGATAAAATAGAATAGCTAAAATAGAGCCTGGACAGCGGAATTCTCGACCTAATTTAATTCCAATTTTTATTATTTCGAGTACCTTACACTTTAAGTTTACCAAATCGAATTTTTGGATTGGTGCAGCATTGGAAGAAGTTGAAAGAAAAAAGACGTAAATTATTTCAAAATAGTTACACTCAATTTTAGTCCTTTGTAGGGAATAAATTTGTCTGTGAAATTGTTTTTTTTTGTAATTTTTAACTTTATGTATAGTTTTTTTTCCATGTCCAAAGTAATTCGAGTACTTGACGAAAAAGTAGCAACTTTCTTTTATGTGTACAAAGCCTCAGAGATCACAACATTTCCAACTACTCTAATCGTGGTCAAACAAAATTTTTTTGATGTAGTAGTCTTTGTTTGAAGTTCCTGAAAATGGCGTAATGATTTACTCCCACGCGTGTTTAAATGCGTGCTTAGTTATTTATAAGCATGTGGCTTTTGCTTTTAGGCTCAGCGTTCGGATTGCTTCATCTTCCCTCGATAATCTGTGTTAGTTTCTACTTCGACTCTCGCCGAGCGCTAGCAGTCGGAATAACCAGTGTTGGGACTCCCGTCGGAGCCATGATATTCGGCCATCTATCCGAACTACTTCTTAATGTAAGTGACATCTCGCTGTCACTTCAATAGTATCTTTTAATTGATTATTTTTGTATATTTACGTCTTTTGTCTGTTTTTTTTGCGCGTGTGCTAATTCATTGGCCTTAATAAGTCCGCTAAAGTGTCTGATTTAGGGTTGAGAAAGTTCGAATTCATTTTTAAAGAAAGGATATTCACTACCTATAACTTAGTAAAAAAGGTTAAGGGATTTTATGAGTTCACTTGCTCCATTTTTATCAACTTTTAGAAGACGAGATACCTATGTTCCGCACAAAACGGGAAAATTTTAACAGTAAATCAAACCCAGTAAGCGAAGAAATACATTTACATGAGAATTCAATTAATAATTAATCCTTTTTTATAACCTCTGAATATTGTTGCATTCACGAGTAGATTCAAAGTAATCAATTTTGAAGCAATGCCTCAAGTGCGCCAGATAATTGATTTTTCCCCACTTAATCTCAACCCTTAATAATGTAGAAATTGCACAGTAACAGCATAATAGAATTGAGCTCCTAAGTTGAATAACAAGAAGTGCGTATTGAGTTACTGGCACAGTCAGAAATAATAGGTGGGGAATCACATACGAGTATCTGTTTATTTATTTATATCAAATGGCAGGCGTTTTGATAGTTATCATTAGCCCTTTAGTTGACTTCATGCTTCACAGATGGGAAGGAACGTCAAAGTGCAAAAGGTCGAGATGGGGGGGAGGGACAGAGGAGTGTTTCAAAGATGTAAAAGAGACAGACACAAAGGTAAAGGTGAGATGAATACTGTAGAGAGACAATGGTAGAAAAAAGGTGAGGTGAGTACTGGAAGAGACAAACACAAAGATAGAACAAAGGTGAGGTGAATACTGTAGAGAGACAATGGTAGAAAAAAGGTGAGGTGTGTACTGTGAAAGGGGTCGAATATGACATACAGTGGGGTCATGGTAGTTTAAACAGACACAAAGGTAGAACAAAGGTGAGGTGAGTACTGTGTTGTCAGAAGTCAACTGCCGATTAATAGACTTTTTGATTTTCAGTCAGAAGTCAACTGCCGGTTTATAGACTTTTTTGCCGTTTGAGTAGTCAGAAGTCAACTGCCGGTTAATAGACTTTTTTGTGAAGTGAGAAGTCAACTGCCAGTTAATAGACCTTTTTGCGTTGAAGTCAGAAGTCAACTGCCGGTTAATAGAATTTTTTTGCCGATAGTGAGAAGTCAACTGCCGGTTTATAGACTTTTTTGCCGCACAGTGGAAGTGGTCGAATATGCCATACAGTGAGGTCACGGTAGCTTGAAGTCAGAAGTCAACTGCCGATTAATAGACTTTTTTGCCACATGCAGTCAGAAGTCAACTGCCGGTTTATAGACTTTTTTGCCGTTTGAGTAGTCAGAAGTCAACTGCCGGTTAATAGACTTTTTTGTGAAGTGAGAAGTCAACTGCCAGTTAATAGACCTTTTTGCGTTGAAGTCAGAAGTCAACTGCCGGTTAATAGAATTTTTTTGCCGATAGTTTGAAGTCAACTGCCGGTTTATAGACTTCGAATATGACATAGAGAAGTCAACTGCCAGTTAATAGATCTGTCAACTGCCAGTTAATAGACTTGTACCGTTAAAGTAATAGAGTGGGGTGATGGTAGTTTGAAGTCAGAAGTCAACTGCCGATCAATAGACTTTTTGCAAGTCAGAAGTCAACTGCCGATCAATAGACTTTTTTGTCTTTGAAGCTAGTAGTCGAATTTGACATACAGTGGGGTGATTGTAGTTTGAAGTCATGTCAAATGCCGGTTAATAGACTTTTTTGCCGTATGAGAATGTAGGACATATAGGGGGGTCATGGTAGTTTGAAGTGAGAAGAAAACTGCCGGTTAATAGACTTTTTTGCCGTATGCGGAGAAGTCAACTACCAGTTAATAGACTTTGCCGTTGAAGTCAGAAGTCAACTGCCGGTTAATAGAATTTTTTTGCCGATAGTGAGAAGTCAACTGCCGGTTTATAGACTTTTTTGCCGCTTTGAAGTCAGAAGTCAACTGCCGAATAATAGACTTTTTTAGGGTAGTTTGAAGTGAGAAGTCAACTGCCAGTTAATATAACGAATATGACATAGAGAAGTCAACTGCCAGTTAATAGATCCAGGGTGCACCACATGGAGGTAAGTCTATCGCACACCCCACATACGAGTATCTAAACGCTAGAGTGTTTTGGTTGTTAAAATATGAAATCTCATTCCATGGGAGTTTAATTGAGCCCTTTGTATGCAAATACTTTTGACAATGTTATAAAGGCGTTTGTATCTAACGCTTATCTCCTTACAATATACGCACTTCAAAGTAACCGTAATCATAGAGGACAACAGCGTCGAGAGCATAAACTTTATTGCCTTGATAACCCCTCAGCTGCCCCCCCCCTCACTTCCCCTAATTAAAGCTACAGCTACTCAGCCTCAAGGAAGAGAAAATACAACTCAAACGACATCCTTGAAGTAGATGATAAATGATTGGCTTCTTTGTTAGCCAATCATTTTATCAGGGACTTCTTCACAGGTGGCCTTACACATCCAGGTGTGAGCGTGGGACTTCAATCGAAAAGATAATCTGATGCATGGGAGATGAAGATTGCGAGTTCCTTTCGAGCTTGGCAATAATATTTGGTTAATTCTTTTAATTATTACGCCGAAGAAATTTTCCACTTATTGGTGGATAATGGGGTAAATAGTTGTTTATCAAGAAGAAAATGGAAAAGATTACTCGATCAATGTGTGTATTTTATGAGTCATATTCTCAGGTCTGAACATATTTGTTGTGTGAACTCGGTTAAAGTACTTTTCGAAGAAAATATATGTTCCCTTACATAACAGTTACGGGAGTTCTCTAGTTTTGACTCTGATTCAACATCAATCGTAAATTCGACACGGTGTTTATCACATTTTGAAATCTAGAAGGGTTACTTTCTGCTAACGTAATTTCTCTGCACACCATATATTACTGGGCTTCGGGAGATTCAGACCTAGAGCTGGGGAGAGAGAGCGCGCATTCGCAGTTACTTAGAGGACGTTGTATTAACGAAACCGAGTCTCCATGTGGATAATAATTTCCTCATACTTTGTTTGGATATCAATGCGCAGCAAGACCGAGTTCAGATTATGTCTCCTCTTCCGGTATATGAAGCGAAACATATGGGTATTGTTCGTTCAGAGAGGAAAAAATAACTGTGAGGAGTTGTTGTCTGTCGGTTGCTTAGCGTAGTAGACGCCACTGAATTGTCTTGGATAACTTTCCTCCAAAATATGATCTGGTTCATAACTTTTTTCCCATTACAACAGATTGCTTCTCACCACATACTAATAGTAAACGAAACTGTTTGCATTGACCCCATTTCCTCCAATTTCTAAGAAATATGGCTGGGCAAACACACTGATTCTCTTCGCTGGAATTCTTCTTAACTGTGCAGTCTTTGCGGCCCTCTACCGCCCTCTAACTCCAGACCTTATACTCACTCCAATGAAACCCGGGGAAGCTCAAGCCATAAAATCACTGCTTCAGTTGGCTGTGAGTGAAGAAGAAAACGACAGAGTAAGTGGTGGTTTAACACCCTCCGCGGTAGCCTCTCAACGTGACCTACGTGATCGGCCTGTTTTGGAGGAGGTTAAAGAGGAAGATGAAGGGAAAGAGATGGAGGAGAAATCTCCGGAGGATAATATACTTCAAAAGTAAGTAAAATCATTAAAGTAAGTAGAATTCGTAGTAATATAGTGTTTCTTGAAAATCTTTGGATTTCGCATTTAGTGAATGGGAAGGCCAATAATACTACTTAAGATGACTTGAATTCCAAACGAGGGGGAATTGTTTTGCTAGAGAGAGAGAGAGAAAAAAATGTACTCTGCCTTCGTGTTTTTAAATAAAAAGAATTTTGGCTTGAAAGAAAATAAGATTGTGCGGTGTCCAGATATCGGACTTCTGTATTGTGAACACTTGGTCCTGCGTATCCCTCTAAGAAGCTGAAAAGGTATTATTGAACCATATTTTGGTCACAGTTTCTCAGGTACTATATTGCACATTGAATTAGGCCTCAAATGATGGCGAAAGATATTGTGACAACCATTCTGTGTCACCATCTTTGACTTTTATTTCTGCACTGATCTTGTCCTATTACTACTCCACAAAAATAAGATACGAACGAAGAGGAACTGTAAAATACGACTTCTAATTGTTACTTATACCTATGCCAGTCTTCTCGAATGGGAAGTCACTGAAGACGGAGCACAATCAGAACGATGCTAGTTTCATCTTCACCTCCTGACAAGATGTCAAATGTGGAATTGACATTCAGGACGAGATATGTCTTCTCCATTCTGAGGCCAACACTATCGAGTCATACATATCTATATCTTTGCATGTCAAACTGGTAGCGCAGTGATACTGCCTGCGATTTTGTATCATTTCTTTGCTTAATATTAAATGTCATGCACAACAAACGTTTCTCCCTGAACAGTCTCTTTTTTTTCAGACCGCTAACAACTATTGTAGAAGGTCCCGAAGGTAAATTTTTTTGAGTCAATCCATTGTCAAAAAAAGGAAATTTTCCCTGCCTAAAATTTTCCTTCTTCGTTATTAGAAACCGAAGGAGCTAATGCAGATTCCTCTAAGCCCAAAGTTGAAGTTGAAGTTATCATTAGGGGGCCAAAGCATCATAGACACCGCAGACAAAGAAAGGTGCGGAAGACTTTGCGTCAGCACCTTCACCATCAATACGCACTTTGGTTGAAGGGTATTCGTCAGGCCCGAAGTTCTCGAAGCGAGAATGGTCATGAAGAACTCGGAGGCGAGAACAGTGACTATTCTGACGCCAAGAGTTCTGATGACTCTAGTCAAGCTTCGACTTGCCATTCCTCTTGCAAAGAAGATGGTTCCCATTGGGATTCTACTTCTGATGTTACTTCAGAAATTGATGAAGAGGCATCTAACATTGAAGGGGATGCTGTGGTAAATTCTAATCATTATTTGTTTTACTGCTCTAGAAACATCCTCAGAAGAATCTGAAGGAAAAGCATGTGACTGGAGGAAAGAAAAGCTTCAGCGGAAGATCGCAGTTTACAACATCTACTGATGAATGCATTTTCTCCGCCCCTAGTCTTAATCAATCTAGTGGAAGTGGGTTATTTTTGGACTATTCTCGCTTTTTTTCGCGAATCTAAGTTAACCGAATTCTATTTAACGCACAAGAAAATTACGTTTAGTTATGTTTAAATTTAACCCTTTTGTTGGGGTTTAAGGGTTATAAGGTAGATGAAATGTAGATGGTATGAAGTGCATTAGCAAATTGTACCCTCCTGGAAGTAAAATGGGTAGATAAGCCTAAAATTCAAATGCGCAAAATAAAGGAATAGCTTGATGATTGGTTTTATTGTGAGTTGTAAGACTAATAAACTTTTTAAAGATTGTTAAGTTAGATTTCGGGACGTTGATATGTGGTAACAGCAATCATGAAGCCACTACTTGACGAAGTTTTTTCGATTAACCTATACCTACCTGAGTTCATTAATTAGATACGAAAGGTTTGATGGCCCTTTTAATTGAATCAAGTGAGATGTCAGCTTTTGGAAAATTTTTGCTCACGTATTCGACTACTGGTCGCTACGTAGTCTGCGACTTGCTTATTCTATTTGTCAATGAATTCCTGAGATTAGAGCGGATTTCTAAGTAATTGAGAGTAGAGTAGTGTCCTCGTAGCGTCTCCTTGGCGAGAAATTGGAATCCCACTACTCCTTTTGAGCCAACTAGCGCGATTAACCCTTCACCACTTATAAAGCATACGAACACATTAACCGTTGTGCTCTTATTTATTTCTGATACTACGGATCGGCCAGGAAGGAGAATAAGTCATTATCAAAGACACCACAAACAGAATGTAGTACATCGACGAGCCCATCAACCAGAATGTCATCCAAGTCGGACCTATTTCCGTCCCATCCCACGACAATCAGTCATCCACTTCGCCAATGCCTCGGTATCTAGGCACCGTTCAGTATCTATCGGCGCTTGTCAGCTTACCCAAAGCCAAATCGGAAACTTCGGATCTGCTCTATTCGCCTCCACACTGAGCCCAGGTGCTAATGGTCTAGATGGAACGCCTTCGATTGAAGAACTTAGCGATACTGCTCCAGTAATCGTGGAACTACCTCATGAAAGTATTACTGTCGAAGATTACGCCCGTCCTCTATATAGGAAAGATATTTTCTTTCCGTAAGTTTATTGGTTTTGATCAAAACCAATTCATCCTCTCTTAATGATTTTTGACAATATTGTCACCATTTTGTTTAGTTATGAAATTCATCTAAACTTCTAGTATCAGCAGTTCTCAATAACGGCGAGAATTTCGATTTGACAGTTTGATGGTTTAGAAGTAATTACTCTATGATCACTGATTAGAAAGACTTTTGGGTGTCAATTTAATATTTAGTGATGACTAGTTGTAGCTAATCCAGCAATTCATAAGAAAGTTTCAACTCTCTCAACAAAAAATTGGGATAAAACGGTAAGAATTACAAGGATGTCAAACGAGTACGTTGTTTCAGCTACCGTGGTAAATTAACCATATAAATTATCCTGTGTCGCATTGATTTATTAATTTTTACAGCAGAGAGTGGCCCTATCAATTTTCGATTTTGCTCCCTTAGAATCTGGTTTTATAAAAACTTAGAACTTGCTCCATGGAGCAAATCACAAAAATGCCACTATTAAGAGGGCTCCAAAGCATGAAACAATCAAAAATTATTTACTTTCAGGGGAAACATCAAACGACAGATTGAGCCCACATCGGCGTTAATTACTGCAGGTGCTCAGAATGTGGCCGAAAATTCGGAAGATCAGGTGATAGCAAGTCAAATCTCTATTGATGGCGTCAGACGTCGGAAGACAACAATGGGGACATCTACATTTGGAAGCACTATTCAATTTGGAGACAACGTTCCCTTTCCTCTTGTGAATGAAACATCAGGCCCTGATAAGGGAAATTCAACTGATATTAATTGGACGGGATCTTGTCTAATGTCTCTGACTAAAATTCCCATTCCAGATGTATTTGAAAACGATAAAGAGGAAGAAAATGAAGTAGACTACGAAGCAAAGATATGGGATCGCCTTAAAGCTGAAGGTGGTTTGAATCTAACGGAAAAGCGAGAAGATGGAATTTACAGAGTGCCAAGATATTTCTCCCTTTGTGGATGGTGGTTATGTTGGCAGACTCAAAAGAAACTCAGTATTTCGTCAGATGATGAAATGGAAAGGTTCAAACGAACTGTGATGAAAGGTTTAGAGAGTGGAGACCAATTAATGAAATATCCTCCCAAACCAAACCTAGTACTCATCCGAAGATGTGCATATCTTCCAAAATCAATGTGTGACGTCCTAGTAACCATGATAAATCTTTCTTTGTTGAAAAGTTCTAGTTTTGCCATCTTGTGTGCTGGAAATGCAATCGCCATGTTAGGTAAGATAATTGCCTATAGTCGATTCATTGATACTTAGGCGTCTATGTCCCTCTGTTCTTTGTCTATGATCTGTCGGAGTCTTTTGATATACCGAAAAGCCAATCAGCTTATTTGATGACGGTTTACGGTAAGATAAAATAAGCAACCGAGTCATTTTTTATAAAAGGGGCCGTAAGTGCAGTCAGCCGTTTATTAAGTTCTTGGTTAAGTGCCAAACCGAATGTTTCCTCGACGATATTGACAGCAATTGCACTTATAGTGTGTGGTATATCTGCCTGCGTTATGCCCTTCTGGGGAAATCTGACTGGTCAAATTCTAGTAATGGTTGCCTTCGGCTTAACAATCTGTAAGTGCTTTATGCGTTAAATATGTGATATGGAAATGTTTAAATTTAGCACCATTCTTCTCCTTGGCTTCTGTTATAATTTGTGACATTCTTGGTCTGGAGGCACTGACTAATGGCTATGGCATTGTCACCATGGTTCGTGGTATTGCAAGCACTGCTGGATCCCCCTTAGCCGGTAAGATGAAAAATATCATATTTAAATATACCTTTGCACTGTAGGTATGATTGCATCCGCCACCGATTCATACGCTGTAGCTTTGCTAACTGCAGGCAGTGCGATAATAATTGGCGGGGTTTTATATGCCCTAGTCGTTCTTCTTGAGAGAAGAAAACTACGGCGAATGGTTGAAGTTGAAGTGGATTCCGCTGGAGGTTAGTTGTTTTAAGTAAATTTTGACGATATGTAAACCCATTTAACTGACACTTTTATTCCTCTATTCTAGAAAGAATATAATCGAGGAAATCGTATATCGTAACACCAGTGTATTTATTTGTGTCAGTTTGCAGAAATTCAATGAAATTGACTCAATTCAAAAAATGAAATTGTGAACTTCTAAAGATACCTCCTAACGCTTAGAGGATTAGCTAAAAGTAGCTGAATAACTGCAAGAACGATTAAATTTCCCAACTGATTGACTTGCTGAAATCTGTTCCAATGTATAATTACTAACTTTAATCATTGACATATATGACTTGTTCTATTTAGGCTCTATGGGAGATTAAATTAGTTGAAAATGCAATCTGGGCAACATTAGAGAAAATAGCAAAGTCTCGCTGTCTAAAATTCATCGCAATGATATGCCAATTTAGATATACCCCATTTACAACCATACTGCAAATAACTCAGTTCAATTGTAAGGTCATTAGAATTAGAAAGTGAATATTAAGGATCTTGCGCGTGGGATGCGTTTCTGAGCAAATTGTTATTTTCTATACGTTGCGAATAAAGCAAAATGATAAATTAATGGAACCATTGCTAACTAAGTAGACTTTATTTATTCGAATTCAAAAGGCTTTGAACATAATATCGGGAATAAATAAAACATCGATTCTAGTATTCTCTTAAAATATTGGGCATTTGTGACAGGTTATTTCTAGCGTCACATTTTCTAGTTGCTCAATATGAATTGAGGTAATTGCATCATGTAATATAAAAGCTTTGTTTGGCTGAATGGATAGATCGTTCTGTAGACCTGGATCAATTTCTCCGAGTGTCAATATTGAAAACCACAGCATTAACCATTCTCTTAGTTTAATGCCATACTTTGGTCTACTCTCTTCTTAAATCTGCCCAATGATATCAATTTCGTTTCAAATACTCTACTGCCATTTGTGTTTAGTTGTCCACTGTAAGACGAAAAGTTGTTTGAAAGGACTTTAAATTTTTAAATATATTTTATAATACATAGCTTTGATAAATACTGAAATTTAGAAAAGTAAATAACTTTATGATAGTTGAACTATCACGGTGGTATAAGGCCATATCAATCAAACATCAAATTAAGTGAAACGCATAAATAAGCATCAATTGAATTGACAATGGGAAAGATTTTGGGAAATCTTTTTCAAACTAAACATCAATTATATAGAAGCTTCAAAATGATGACGATAAGTTTTTCTGGCCCCAAATTCGAAACATAAAAGAGGGCTTCAACCTTTTTATTTACTACCTCTACAGTTTACTTTAAACATCTTAACAATAGAATTTATAAGATAAATGAATCTTCACTATAACTAACATACTTGACTGAAATATGAAAAGGGGCTGTCACAAAAGTCCAGCATTAATGATGATTTTGTGAAAGAAGTTAAATAGAAATAGGAAACTTTAAATTAATGCGAGCAGACAACATAACAGATTTATTGTCCAACTTGAACGTATTACAACTAACTGGGTTGAATTATTTACTCTATTCCAATTAATAACCCTATATTAATTGTATGATTTCTGTTGATATATAATAACAGGACAAATGCACATCTTCTAATAAATATCACGTAATCAAATATTATTACAATTAATAATCAAATAAAGTCTACAAAAGCTCCCTAGAATACTTATTTATCAATAATTTGTCTAAATTTATTCGAAGATGTTTTGGAATTGGCCAGTGCTAAAGCGCTCTCATTAATTTCGTTCGTTGGTATGTTTTATTTATGAAACTGTAAATTTAACATGATTAATTATATCTGGTCACCAATTTGATAATTTAACAAGTAATGCATTATAATATTATAATAATGTTGTTCAAATATAATTAATGTTTGTATTGTAGCTCCAATGGTGAAATATAAGCAAGAAATGCCTCCACCTGGGGGGTTTGCTCCATTGGATTTTTTATATAAAGGAACCAGAAAGCATCTAAATGGTATGCAATTGATATGCTTAGTTAGTTTTTATGCTTTTCATAACCTCCTTTAAAATCTTTATCTTTTTAGGGCTTTATGTAATCGCTGGACTCTATCTGTGCTCCTACGTCGGTATCAAGCTTCGTCATTGGCAGCGGGAGAAGAATGATGCTATTGCCAACGAAAACAAAGAGGTTCGCTTGGCGCTCACCCCTTTTCTTCTTGCGGAACAGCAAAGAATGTATCTCAAGCAGCTCGTCAAGAATCGTGAATACGAGACAGAACTTATGAAAGACGTTCCTGGGTGGGAAGTCGGGCATTGGCACGACACCCCTGTCTACTATAATCCTCGTGGTCTCTGGTGCGAACCAAGCCTCTATGAGTTTTACGCTCATCTTACAAGACGTCAAGCTGAGCGTCAACTTACTGTACACTTTGATTATTAATTCTTCGGTCTCACCAGTGCATATTAATTAGATACCAAATAAAGCATAGTTCCCTCAATGGTCTCTTTTAATGGCTCAATATCGAAATGAGCTACCATGATCTGGTGCTATTCATAGATGCTTGCTTTAAACCATGAGCTTCCTTGAGTCGATGCTTTATTTACTTCCAGCGATCGGTCTAATTTTGATCAGTTTATGCAAACGGAATGGGTTCATTTACGTTTTTTCAGTATTTCTGAATGAAATGCCACTGAATACGAGTTCCCATTCCATTGGTTCCTTAATTTTGCCCCACGTTAAAGGAAATCGCTTTTCCCAATCAGGTATTTTCATGTATTACTATCTGTAGATGCACGCCCGTTAGTATGCGTTTATCTGAGTGAATAGTGTGAAGTCCCTTAACCACGTCTTCGTGATCATACTTAAATGTTGTAAGTAGATTAGTTCTTATTTTTGACGATATTCTGCATAGTGTAGTGCGTCAGGCTAACATCAACGGTTCCTTTTCACAGAATGGAGTAGTTTTGACGTCTATCAGATCTCTTTTAGTTTGCAACAGACAAATTATTCATTAGGTGCGAGGTTTGGTGTACAGAAATCATTTGTAAGGTATTCAAGAACAGGATTTACATTTCGAGATCTAATTTAATGAAATAGGTATTTATTCCTCCAGTCAAATTGCTATTATTTATTTCCTTGTTACTTTAGAGTGCTGATTATGAGTACGCAAGGGAATGAGACGCATTGCATGCTTCTGCCTTAAGAGCCGTTTCAAATAGGAGTTAGTGAATTATAAATATTTTAGTCTGCAAACCTAATTGTTATTGTTAAATTCTTGTTCTAAAGAATATGGATAAGAAGTATGTTGAGCCTATTTTCCTCAAGTTTAGCTATGTTACTCTAGCGAGAGTTTCCTGGAGTATAATTTAGCCGACCTTGATCTTGAATTCTTAACATATTCTCTCTGTAATGTATCCTTTTTTGAATGATCGGAATTTATTGAACTTCTCCTCGCATTTGATCTTCGTTTACTTGGTGGATGCTTGTCAAATTTACATGTTTCAATTGAATGGCTCCTGGGCGCCACCTGAAAACTACTCGACAAACTGGATGGCCTTCCCGCAGATTTAGAAAATCTTTTCGTGACCTTTGGTCTTGAAGGTTTTCGAAGAGGTGAGAGTCTGTAGAGGTCTGAATGTGCCAGATCAGCTGATAATCGTCTGAATTTGAACAGATAACAAAATATAACGGTTTCTAAAATTTTCTATTAATGTCAGCTAAGGAACTTACTCTTTCGAGAGCTTCGCAACAAACATCAATCCCTTGATGGATATTCCCAGAGTGTTGGATAGAAGGTGTAAATCCTGTCCACCTATGTGCTTGGGATAATTTGAGGACGACTTCTTTTCCTCCACAGTAGACTTTTCATTTATTGAAAATCGTTGAAGGAATTGAAAAATGAGTGCGTCGTAGTATTTGTGGCTTCCAAGTCCTTGAGTTAGCCTGTCACATTCCATGTAAATTAAATTCAGCATCTTGGCAACCTCTGGAGACCTCTGTGGATATATTCGCTCAAAACGACCCAGAGAAGCTCGGTACCACTCATTAAGCGTTGTTGCCAATGCCAATACATCATCCGTAGTCGGTTCATCCAATATTGTCTTTATTTCCTAAAATTCATTGCAACTCGGTACTTTTCTTCCCTAGTTAAAGCATTGCACACAACCATATATATATATATATACATATCCCAACCCAGTGTTCATTTATGTAAATTGGCTAGTTGATGAAAAAGAGAATGTGGATCTGTCTTAGTTACGAAGTGTTATAGTTTTCTGATCCTTTACTAGTACAGAAATTCTGATAAGCTAATGGTTTTTGAATTGCCCTTGTGATTGCCTTTAATTTCGAGCACCGGCTAAGACCCGTAGACTTAATGAAAGACAATGATGAGAGATAATTGAGGCGATTGTGAACTTCAAATCCTAACTATGAGCAAGTTGATGAATATAATTGGCTTTTATCATGAGCATGTTACGCGCCTGTCACGAGTTTATCGAGATCGGTGAGTCAACTGAAGAAAAAGACCCGGAGATTAGCTAGGCCATATTCCAAGATTCCCGTAGAATACCCCGGACTACTCCAGAGATGTCCTTCAGCGCTTATTGAAAGGTCGTAATTAAATCATTGCTACTGGTTGCTCATCGTTATATGTACACGATAATTCCCATGCACATCAATTTCACGTGATCTACTATATAAATAAGGCCATATTATCTAGCCAGATTTCTTTTATCTACCACCTTCAATAAATTTTAAAATTAGGTTACAAGACAAAGTTCCAAATGAAACTTACCGATGGAAACTGTGTTCTTGTGGAATAAAATCGATGTTTCGCCTTTTCTGCCTCAGTCAAAATATATCGCAGCTGATCGATTTTATGAAAGGGTAAATTTTGATCCATTCCGTCCGTTCCATCTTTTACACTTGCACTGGATAGAGTAATCAATTCAGATTGTTTTCTTTCTTTGGAAGGGTTTCGTATGGAACTCTGGACGCGACTATTATTTTCCGTTTCTTCTTTTGGAGGTAGACGAAAGCCGGCGAGGTTGAGAAGATCTACAACTACCTCAGCTTTGATATCATTGTCAATCTTTGTTGGCGTATGAAAGCTATGCACAGCAAGTAGAAACAGTCAGCTGATAATAAGCACGACATAAAATATACTGTCATAATCGAATGCATAACAGTGATATTCAAGCTGATACTATCTGATGAATTAGACTAGAATGGAAAATGAAATTTTGGCAAAACTGACCTCGGAGAAATATTGACCTCCAACAGCCACGGACGCAGTTTTGAGTCAAGAATTACATCAAAACCAAAGATTTCGTGAGTACTTTCTCGACATCTAACGTGCTGTGCAACCATACTGGCCATTTTACAAGTTGCAGTTGCTATTGTCTTGAAGGCAATGGCCTTAATATCTTCCCAGAGCTTTTCAATGTCATGACCCTTGGCCTTTAGATAACGCCATAGGTCATCAAGAGGCCTAAAATGTTTTAAATTGAGACCGTGAATAGACGCTTTCAAATTTATTTGCATAAGCCTTGAATATCAACACTTATACTTTGATCAATCATTCTTATGCCTACGGTCCATCTAAATATACTAAAATAAGGGTTATTTACAGATTTTTCATGATGCGATGATAAAATCATACCATTTATGCGAGAAATTTTCAAGGGATTCATCTGGTGGCCTGTAATTCGCATTCTTTTTGTTTATCGAAAAGTTTGTAAGATGAATAAATTTGTTGCCAAGTTCCTCTTGAGAAGCAGAATATCTGAAAAAATCAGTAATTATGTCTATTTAAACTGACAGAAAATAAAATTTTCATAAGGGATTGTATTTTGCTTTTCTAATAATTCCAGAACTAATTGTGTTCACATTTGTTTTAAGTGAATTTAGACTTCTTTCGTGTGATAGATCAAAAGAGTGGTACATCATTTAAAAGTAGTTTTAATTGCCCTGACAACAAAGTAAGGATTAGAATCGATATTTTTTAATGACGAGGGCAAAAATCAACATTCGAAGTAAAGAAAATACTCACTTTTGGGAAGCGAAACGAACGAGACCGTTTCGATGAATGTAAATCCTCAAAGGATCCACACTCGTCACATAGACATACAGCCGAAGATCGAACTTGCTTCCGTTGATCAGATAGGGGTCTGAGATGTACTTTTGCGCCACCACTTTCTTACGCTTTGGGATATCTCCCAATTTGTTTGCTAAGTATATGCCTCTTCCTCTTGAACTGGCTGGCTGAAGTAGACAAAATGCTTAGCTTACTTAAGGACGTAAGGGCACATAATTTGGGGTGTTGTTATTACCGGTTTAATAATCCATGTGTTACTTGACTTCCTTTTGTTATTAAATGAAAGTCTATATGCATTTTTGAAACTCGGGTACTCAGGGGGCAGAAGGAATGTGGTTGGGTAAAAGTTATAAACGTCCCCGCAAAATCGGTTGCGTATTTTGTTTATATTTCTAGTCAATTGGTCTTTCCGGCCCAGTTCAAAAGAACCAGGAATGTGATTCAACTTTTGGTATTCCTTTAATTGACGGAATAGAGCAGAAGGAATGTGTCGACCGAAATATCCAATCCACTCCGTACTGTTTCCTGAGAAATGGAACAAATTTAGATCAATTTATTCGTAAATTCTTTGAAGTTAAAGAAAATGAAATAAGTGGTGCCAGTAGAAATCTTCTAGATGATATTCTACTGAATAAAATTATTTTAGAAATTTAATTATACAGATAGAGGGTCTGGTTTAAAAAAAATATTGAATAATCTACTGTAATTTATTAATTAACAGCTGGGGCATTTTAGTTCAAATTCTTGTGACTTACGATTAGTTAATTTGAAATGAGACCTTTCCAATGCTCGTTTGAGTACGTTGGGAGTAATTTGTGAATTTCTCCAAATAAGCTTTTTCGAAACCGAGTTGGGGAATAGAATTACTGGTAATTTTTTGTTGAAAGGGAAACAATTAAAATTAAATAGCTAATTAGATATTAATAAAATTATAAAGTAGGAAATTAATTACTCTCTTCATTGTCCTTGGCAAATCGAATGAAAGGGGGGATTTCGGGAAATAAGGAATTTATAATTGGTGGTAACTTGATGATTTCCGAATTTGGTTTGCTAATCTGAAATGATTAATTACTGCTAATAGAACGTAAAAAATAAAGTAGTATTTTACTCTAAATTACACTAGTACTCTGCAAAAAAACCAAATGCCTACTTTGGGCTGAGATATGTGCTCGCGTTAAGAGTACGTACAATGAATCCTTTGAATGTTAATTATACGCCTTGGTTAATTTGAACATAATTTTCTTTGAACAACAGCCAAGCTACAAATATTTCAAGACAATGTCTTCTCCAGTGTTTCATTTAAAGTCAATTCTTGACAACTTCAAAGTCGAATCGTGTTTAAATGTCAATAGCTGGCAGGATGATCGAGTTACTAAATCGACAATTTCTTACTCGTAATAATGGTTCACGGCACATGAATGACATAAAGCCAATTAGGCTAAAATTCAAAGAGAAGGGTACAGAGAGTTCAGTTTTAGTGCTAATTCAGATTATACAGCTTATCAAGCTCCAACGATCTAAATGAACATGTAGGTATCGGCATAAAATCCGATAAATTTTGTAAATTTGATTACTTTACGCCAAATACATTTGTGGTGATAAGGATGGTGCATGACTCACAAAAAGAAAAATGCGTCCTTACATGAATCCCTTTTTTCACTTTCTCTAATACCTCATTGGCCCACTTTGTAAAGGTGGACTCTTCTGTACTAACTTGAAGTTATATAACCTGATTCTGCTAGTATGACATTTCCGTCCACTCGAAATCCCTGGACTACAGTCGATTCAAATAGGAGAATGTGAGAAGAGAAAGAAGTTAAACCGATAATTCTTATTACTTAAACAGAGATATTATATAAGAGTTAAATCTACCCTTACGCTGTTGATGTTGGGAAATCAGAAGCACCACCAAGCCGATAACAACGTTAGCTACAAATAACTGCCAGGCTACTGGAAGCGACATGGGTCGGTGTCTTGATGAGAAAGGTCCGAAATTTTAACACAACCCCTAGAAAATTACCACTCATACTGAAGCTTTGAGTTTTACTATTTTGAAATCCCATCGAATTTACAATTAGTTTACCAATTTTATTATGAAAATCTCTCACAAAACTACCACCGATATTCCACTATCCATTAAAATAAATCAACACATTACGAGCTATTCAATGTCAAACGTCAACAAAATGGCTGCCAAATAAAAGCAAAAAGAAGTTTGTCTCTCATTTATCAACTTAATGTCACTACGATAATTCACCCTTTGAATATATGTTCAAAATTGTGGTTAATGTACATACAATATCACATATAAATGAACATTTTAGAAGAACAATCATAAGCTAATTTAATTTAGAAATTCATACTGTAATGATAGCCTGGTCCTCCGAAATGTAATCATCTTCCATTTCCACGCCAAATTCGCAGGCATCAGAATCATTACCACCACTTAATTTTATTCCATTTAAACAATTTTCTAAATCAGTTAGTCGTTCAGATTCATTTAAAAGCGGCTCCACAAAGACATTCTTCCGAACTTTTTCATTAATGGCATCATCAGATTGATCAGATGTTTCCTGATCACAATTCCAACTCTCTTCACCACATTCCAATGTTTGAGTTCCTATTGATAGGAAGTTGGTGTTTGACCTTTCTGATGAAGAACCATTGTAATTTGGATTTGATTTGGACCTTTTAGCTGAAAATATACGATTAATAATCTTTCCAGAACGATTTCGAAGTAGTCTGGTATACACAGAGAGTGGACGGTGCGACACAGAACTCGAGTTACACCTCGAATCAGAAGGAAAGTCCTCAGACCAATCGCTTTATAGAAAGGGATTCGAATATTTAACTTTCTCACCTACGGTAAAGCGATTTCGACATTGTAGACATCATCAAACGCCATTTATATCTATTCTGAAACCGAAATTCAAGTTATTCACGCTGAAACGTTAGGTTGTGTAACAAATTGATACGATTAAGTTCATTCAATGAGTGTTGTTTCTGACGCAAAAATTCTACAACTGGAGAAGCATCTATATCCTAATACCGATTATTTCATTATGTTTATTCAAACACAGTTAATTACGAGTACAGATAGTGCAATTATAACCTGGCGCAATAAAGCTCTGTCAGTGGTTAAGCATGTGACCTTCATTAGAAGGAGATTTAAAGCTTTTGAAAAGGGAAACTAACAGTGAAATATATACGAATAAGGAAAAGAGAATAATTTATGTAGAATTTAATTCATACGTGTTGCCATATTTGTTCCTTTCGCTTTTAAGAAAATGTTGATTTTATCATAATTTATTTAGACTCATGTCGAGTCACAAATTATGCATATGTAATGTAGTTTTTGGACTAAGTTTAATAAAACGTCTGCATGTTTATATAAATTTGATAGATATATCAAATGAAGTTTCAAGCTAAAACCTTTGGATTTGAATTGACATTACACTAGCTCTGGCTTTGGTTTAAGTTACTTACCGCTGATGTTTGCCATTATTTTGTAACACTGCCAGGAGACATATAGATTTTAAGGTCTTACACTTGCAAAAAGGATTCCATTTAAATTAAAATACCAAAAGAAAAAATTCTGATTTATCCAATATTTAGTGAGCGCAAAATAAATTTTCCGAATTGTATTTTTTGTTCAGTTCTACATATTACCTCTGAAAGTAGAGTTTTAATTACAGTTTTTTCCACCATAATCTATAAAATGTTCCTAATATACTTAATATTATTGAAAATAAACATGTAAAGACATCTATTCCTAATTATTAGTTGATTTAAGGTAGTTAATATAATGGCTTATGTTAATGTTTTTTGAAATTTAGGATTGTATCCAATCCCGTAAGCCATCAATCGCATATGGATTTTCTCTGAATAAATACTATGAAAGGAATTCATCCACAATTAACCGTATGAAGGAATTTATATTATTTATGAATGAATTATTGTTGTTAATTAATTACACCCTCACAAAAAGCTAAAATATTAAAATAATTACTATTTATATGCCAAATCAGCCATTTATTTCCAAATATTTTTTTAAATTTCATTCAAGACTTTTTATGATAATTGATTCTATCCCGAACTCAGAACGAGAAAATAAGGGAAATCACATGTGTAGAAAATTATTCAATTATCTACTTTGTAGTAAAAACCTTTGTGGAAAATATCTTTACCTAGGTTTGGCATAATATTATCTGTATTAATTTTCCCCAAATTTCTAATCAACATCTTTATTAAAATTTTTTGATAAATCTTAATAATATAATTAAAAATAATACTGAAACAAGCAATAATTTATGCGTTAAAATAATAAGAAAATATAGGTGAAACGGAATAGAAAAAAGCTTCCACTAACTTTAGTCTCTCTTAAATATGTCTCCTAATTTCGCTTCCCAGAAGCCATTACTTACCATTGTATAAACAATCGAAAGCTAAGAAGGGATTCCTCATCAACTGCCGGTTACATATTCCTCATTGGGGATTTCTGATGTTGTGCCCCAGATTGCATATTTTGAAGATGCTGTGGCTGTTATTTACATACAACGGTGGCTCTACCTATAGTAAATTAAGCAATTTCGACGGGAAATTCATACTGTTAAACGAATGAACATGAGTTGTGGTTATGCTTGTGAGAGCTTCCATTTTTGTTGAAAATGGTATGGAAAGAGTCTGGGTGACCTGTATTGGAAACTTCCAACCTGGAGATTCTCAGTTGAACTCTGTTGGAGTTCTAACTTCGTTGGTCTATCATTGATATGACTTTATGAACTCAGCGACCTTATGCATCTTCAGATTAATGAAAATAACCGTTTGTTCGACTCCCAGAGCATAAAAACAGGCAACACGAACAAACAGGCAATTCATACTTCCAGAACGAGAAACAACAATTGAGTAGTTTAACTTTTGGTCAAATTAAGCGATTAAAAGCAAGTTGGTGAGAATGATTGAGGTAAATTCACTCGGACTGTAGCTAAGTGCATGTAATTTCGCAAATGAATGGCTAAAAGTGGACGTTAAAATTGTTTTTATGTTTGATTAATGTTTTAATTTCAGGATAATACTGTATCTCTTCGCTACCTATTCTAAATAAATTTTAAACTACATTATTTCTCAAATCAGATCATATTTAAGGCCTTTATTTTGAGTTCATCTTTAAAGGAGGAAGTGGGGACGAGCTACAGGAGATTTCAAGATACCTTTGAGTTTTAACGAATCACGATCAGCCTTGATCACTTTTATATGTTCCTTTTTGGAATAAGCTTCCTTTCACATCCTGGTCTTTAAATGTGATACCGGTTACACTGTCATTCTGACAGAAGAATGAAAACTTTTCAGGTAGTAGATAATCTTGAAACTTTTTCAATATTGTGTAAGTTTAGTAATCACTATTTTTGATATCAACGAAATAGAATGAAAAGAAAACTTTTACTAGACAGGAAAGTGACAATAAACGTGCTTTAGAAAACATTTATTCAAACGTTTGCTTTCTTCTCCACCATTACCATACCAGATTTCCAATAACCCAATACATAAATCAGGTCCAAAGCTGTTTTCATCAATCTGCTTTAAGTAGGGATTGGACGCTCTGACAAAGCATCATACCTTTTGGTTAGGACTTTGAATTATCTAGCCAATCAAATCGATTTTAACATGTGTCCAACAGCAAATCTTGTACGAACAGTCAAAGAAAATGTGACCGAATCCCTTCTTTTATTTAAGCAAGCAGGGGGTGTGCGATAGACTTACCTCCACGTGGTGCACCCTGGGCAACGTATATTCATACGGCAAAAAAGTCTATT